GGTACAGCGTTGACTCTTAACCTTGCAATCGTTTGTTCACTCACACCGATCTTCTGGCTTCAAACTGATACCTCCACGTCAACACATTGCAGCATTGGAACATTATATCAATTACACCGGCTGCTTCATTTAAACACCAGGGCCCTTAGTCTCGAGTTTTTCGTGTTACAACTCCCAACGTGTTGAAGGTGTCACGTGGTACCATCTCACACACTGACGTCAAATTGGTAGTCTCGAGTTCTAACTCACATGCTTTCCCATCTCACCATGCGAGTTGCTACTCATGTTGAGTCGAGCATGTGAGATCGCTACACGAAAGTGAAAATGGCTGAAGGATACGCAATTCTTATCGCTATCGAAGAGTTAGAAAGAGCTGAAAGACGTTGTTTGAGAAGGCAACGAATTTTTCGACCACAGTAGATGACATTTCTTTTCGCATCAAGTCAATACTAATAAAAAAATTTTAATTCATAATTGATAAAATTATACAGCAAATTTTTCAAAAATAAAAAGTATCTAATTAATTGAAAAAGAGTATTAAAATGATAGTAAATTATATGTATAAATTATTAAAAGCATAGACACTATATTAAGATTATTTATTAATCAAAAGTGTTAAGTTCTGATTAATAAATAATAAATAGACAAAACAGTTTAAGAAATAGATCGAGGAAGAAAACTATATGAAGAAAGGATTAAATTAAAATACATTTACATTACATAATGGATTTTTTAGCTCCAACACATGCAATTAATTTTTTAACTAATTCTCTCCACAAAGGGAATTGTCTTTTTCTTGTAAATTTATTGTCGAATTTTCCACTGTTCATTTTCTTATTTTCTACGTATGTTACTAATATTTTTTTTTGTTCTTTGCTTATTTTTTAAAATAAAACATTGAACGTTTTCATTTTGTTTCTGCGTACTATATTGCTATAAGACAACTTTTAACTGTAGCACGTGTAAACTAATTCACGTTGATTTGTTTACAACTTGTTAGAGTTAAGTTAATTGGTCAATTCATTATAGTCGCAAACCCAGATGCATTGTAAATAATCCCATCATGCTTAACGACACACGCAACCGAGTGAGTATGACGTATTTCCGCTCGCCTTTCAAGTTCGCTCGAAGAGTCTAACTCGAGACTACCAATTATGTGAGTCATAGGGTGCGTTTACTTGTGAGTTAGCAGTGCTAATTTTGATAACCGGATGTGACGTCATTAGCACGTGTATTCGTGCTTGCTTGTCCAATTCGAAAGTGAACACATACGCTAACAAGAAATATGCTGGAAACCGCCATATTTCTTGTTAGCGTATGTGTTCACTTTCGAATTGGACAAGCAAGCACGAATACATGTGCTAATGACGTCACATCCGGTTATCAAAATTAGCACTGCTAACTCACAAGTAAACGCACCCATAGTTACACGAGTGAGTTCAATGACGTCAGTTTGAGTACAACACGAAAAACTCGAGACTAAGGCCCCAGGTGGTGCCAGTTGGAGAAGAGAGCCAACTAGGCTAAAGTTTCCATATCAACCAAACAAGAAAGAAAAGAAAGAAANAGACAACAAAGTGCTAAGCGAAACAGTGTTAAACGAGGTCATTTTAACATAATGTAAATAGGAATAGGGGAACACACGACTAAAAATAAATTTTACTTTAATTTTAAGTTATTTTTGTATTAATTTGTATAATAATATATGCTAAATAACACAAACATATGCACACAGAAATCTAAAGTTCATTTTTTGTGATGAAGGTTCTGACTTTTCTTAAATTATTGTTCTTTTGAAGTTTCATTTGTCACTTTTTTCTTTCCTTAAGCAAGTGTCAGTAGCAGAAGATCACTTCCAAAACGCCTCGTTTTGCTTTTGCACTCCTTTTAAAATCTGGATCATTCGCTACAATTTCTTCAATGATTTCGGCTATCTTACCGAACTTTTACTAAGGAAATCTGTGGAGAAATTTTTGGGGTTCTTCATTTTCAGAATCTCTATTTTCCAGTTTCACACGAATTCCATGTTTTGCTAGTTCTCGAAGATCGTCGTTTTTAAGGGTCTAACCAGAAACTTGCTGTAACTCCTCAATATCCTGCTTGTCTACATCTTCTAATTCTGCTGTATCGATTAGGTTGAGTTTGGTCAACCTAACGATACAGCGATAGGCTCTTCTCGTCGAGAATTCTTGGATACCTTCAGCCATAACTTCTTCCACACTTCATTTGTGCATTTATCAGTTAATTCTTGCCAAGCAAAGTTGATATTTCCTATGGCATCCATGATGATAAATTTTTTCCAAAATTGCACCAAACATACATAGATTTAAAGAAAGTACACCTTTTTGCCACGTTTTTCTGATTGGTTTTGTGTTTGCAAATGATTGTATTATATACAAATCAACGAAATGCTGCGATAATTTAAATCGGCATAAATTTTGAGCTTTTTCTAGGCTTTGAGAAGAGTGCCTTATATCGACTCAGCGTTAAGCGGGGTCTTACTGTATTTAGTACATTTTATTTTGTTATTTATTTGTTAATTTATCTATTATTTTCGTTTTAAATTTGATTGTGTAATGTTTGAACATTCCATCGTTACAGTTTTAAAATACATTCAAATTCATTTACACCTGAAGATGGTGTATTCTATGAGGCTGAAAATGTTAGTGTTTTATTAAATAAACATTTCTTAGTGATGGATTTTATAATGTTTTATTATGTTTTTTAAAAATGCAGAGTTTGATATTTAGTTATTCTTAATAATTTATTTATTAAAATGGATGATTTTAACATTAAATAATGTTATTAAGTTCATTATTATTATTATGTCACATTAAATGTCAAAATAATATGCATGTAATGTAAAATGTTAATGATTCAATATTTTTTTAAATAAATAAATATTAATTATTTATTCATATTTGTTCTATGTTTACTTTCATTTTTGATAAATTACATCTCTACAATATTTAATTAGTTGTTAATGAGTCATATGTATATCTAAGAATCGGTTTCCTGATAGTTATTTTACATATTGAGATTNCGCGACCAAGTGAGTATGACGTATTTCCGCTCGCCTTTCGAGTTCGCTCGAAGAGTCTAACTCGAGACTACCAATTATGTGAGTCATAGGGTGCGTTTACTTGTGAGTTAGCAGTGCTAATTTTGATAACCGGATGTGACGTCATTAGCACGTGTATTCGTGCTTGCTTGTCCAATTCGAAAGTGAACACATACGCTAACAAGAAATATGCTGGAAACCGCCATATTTCTTGTTAGCGTATGTGTTCACTTTCGAATTGGACAAGCAAGCACGAATACATGTGCTAATGACGTCACATCCGGTTATCAAAATTAGCACTGCTAACTCACAAGTAAACGCACCCATAGTTACACGAGTGAGTTCAATGACGTCAGTTTGAGTACAACACGAAAAACTCGAGACTAAGGCCCCAGGTGGTGCCAGTTGGAGAAGAGAGCCAACTAGGCTAAAGTTTCCATATCAACCAAACAAGAAAGAAAAGAAAGAAACCCTTTACATAACATTTATATAAACATATTTTCACTTTTATATATACATAAATTATATATATATATATACGTATATATATATCATATGATTAGATATTAAATATATATATATAACTCAACAGTTGTCAACCTGCAGTCTACAGGCAGACTTATATTAATAAAGATTAAAACTTTGTTTAGTGATGATATTATTTTAAAAGTTTACTTCTAATTTAATTATGTATTAATTAATTAATATGTATTCAAAACATCCTTTAATATTTATTATTGGGCTAAAATTTGAAAAAACTGTAGACTTATAAATTCCCACGGTCGTCTGTCTATCTTTCCTTAATGTTGAGAACAGAGTTAGATAGATGAAATCTAAGACAAGATATGGAAATCTTTGGGGCAGGAGGCCCTGATTAACTATATAGGAACTTCCAATGCAAATCAGAAGTCATGTTATTACAACTTCAAAACTTTTCTCCTGAAAGCAGTTAATAGGTGACCAAATCTATTGTAAAGAAAAAGTACGATATACAGAGGCAAGCCACTACTAATTTGAGATGAAAAGCATATATTTTAAATGAAATAAATGAAAAAATATGATTAAAAATTGCAGCCCAGCATTGTGACAATGCTACAGTAAAATAATTTTTATGTTATAAATGGTAAACTCTATCTTAAATGTTGGCAAAAATCACTTTAGGTCTACATAACTTAGTGGTCTTTAGAAATTTTTTTGGACATTTTACTGATCCTTGGGCTTAAAAAGGTTGAGAAACACTGATACAGATTATTATTAATTACATTTTAAATGAATGAATTGGCCTTTTGCAAATTGATCTGGTTTATTTGTTACAAGTTAGTAATAACTAATGAGTCTGTGCTTTTATGACCCAATGATTTTTTTGATTAACTGAAACAAATCATGTTATTTCTTATACTGTGTTCTGTCTTCTTTCATAAATTCAAATTGCATTCCTGAAAATATAATTTTAACTATAGCCTATAGTACATGTAGAGTAGATTGTCAAAAAAATACAGCTTTTCATACAGCTGTAATAGAAAGTGTATATTAGATATAAATGCAGAAAGTTACCAAATGAGTAGTTGTAAATTGAAGTTATGAGGTCTGTACAAGAAATAACTGAACTTTAGTTTTTTAATTTTTATTTTTCAAGGGACAGATTATTGGCTCTTATCTCCTTCAAAGTACTCCCCTCTTTTATTCGCACAATTATCACAGCTGTATTTCCATTTTGCAAAGCAGTCCTGGTAAGCTTGTTTTGGACTGTCCTTCAGTGCTTGTGACAAATTTGTTTTAATGTTATCAATTGTGTCAAAATGTCGGCAGTAGTCAAATAACATAAATATCTCTTAGCAGTAAGAAATATATTTATAAATAAAATATATATTTTACTTTATAATAATAAAGCAGTTTATATTGTATTAAAAATTATTTTTAAAATTTTTTACTTTGTTAGAGATAAAATCGCCATGGCTGATCTCGTGTCTTTAATGGAAAACGAAATTCCGGAAGGTCTTCAGAGTTTGCAAGACAGTCATACAAATTTAGAAAAAGTAGCAGAATATTGTGAAGCTAATTATTATCAGGTAAAGTATCATTAGGTTTATAAATTTAAATTCTCATAACATGGGTGTTGACTTTATTATATGAATGTCTTATGATATTAGTAAGTTCAAGTGGTGACAGCAGCATTCTTTTCAGTTTAAAACTAGATATTACTTCAAAACAATACTTTTTTTTTAGCAAAGATGTTAAATAGGTCAAAGTGCTTTTATTTAATTAAACAAGTCACCTTCAGGTAACAAAAAACTAATACAGAATACTAAAATTATGCATTTCAATGTGAAATATATAATTTTAAACTGTAAATATAATAAATTAATTTACAGTTTAAAAAATAAAATTAAAAATATAATGTATAGTGTTAGAAATTAAGAGTATCTTCTAGTTGTCTAGCAGACAAACCAGCTCTAGATTTCTGATTGTCCCATAATAAAAGTAGTTGTTCAAGCTGCAGGGTATATATATATATATATATATATTATAAACTAATAGGTAATTAAAAAAGAAACTACTGCATTTGCATGAAAGATTTTATCACTTGCACATTATACAGCTATTTATTATGTCTACACATAAATAGAAGTAAAGAAACAAAGAATCAATTATGTGGTAAAATATTTACTAATTGAATGTTTACAGTTCCTTTTTATTGATCTTTATTGACGTTATATAATTATCAATATTTAGATAATTGTTAAGTTATATAAGTTTTGATAATTATATTATGTAAATGTATATACTGCATGTAAGTAAAATGAAAATATAAATGGCTGACTAATGAATTCTTGAATTCTTATATGCAGTATTAAATAAGTTTTATTCAATAGCCAGTCAGTCCTGTATGCCCTTTAAATAACTTTAGCATAAAATTCTTAATATGATTTTTAATACTGTAACTAATTATAGTTCTTTGTATATATTTTTTAAGTTACAATAATTCTTTTTTGTTTGAGTTTTTAAATATAATTTTACTTTATTAATTTGCAATCACATGCACTTATTTTTTTAACATGAACACTTACATAAAGCAGCCATTAACTGCTGATTTTCCATGCACAACTGCCATTCTTTGAATTAGACAATTCTGTAAAATTTTCTAATGTGTCCTCTCTACATGTTCCAAATTTTAACTTCATATGTTGTTTACTTTATAGATAAACAACCTTGACTGGGTTTCATAGGGAGTCCTTTAAACATTGTGATAGTGAGTTAATGTAAAATAACTTCATCTTGAAATAACAAGTAGACTGAGGTTATGCTTGGAACCTGTTTCATAACTGACATGTAACTGGGGGAGAGCGAAATTAATGGGAAGTTGCACTACCTTTTTTCACATTTATCACGATCGGCATGCCTCGTGAATGTTATTTACATTATATTTAACACTAAACGAGATTCAGCAAATGATGCAATGAGCCGAACGAATATTATCGTCACGAGTTAATCAACTTTTTAATTCATTACCTCGAGCTATGAATGTCTAGACTGACTCAACTTGAAAAATCAGTTTTTAAAACAAACAGCAGAAATCTTAGTGGAAACAAGTATATTTACTTATAATTGTGCAAATCACATTAAACTTTTCACATATTACAGTATCATCTATGAATCTTAACAAAAACTTTGATAATTTTAATGAGAAAGCTGTTTTACTATTATAAGNTAATTTAAAACAACAATGTAAATCAAATAATTAAATATTACAAAGAAATTTTTTCAGTGTATTTTACAAAAAATTATAAATTCTATAAGCATTATTTTTTGTTGATATTTTTAAGTTATTTTTGAAGTCTAGAGGTGAGCTACCATTTCAATTTATTTTTGTCCAAGTCTGTTTAAATGCTCATTCCTCGAGAGGCGGTTGATTTGTATTAAAAAATTATTACCTTTATATTTAGAGTCCATATTATTTGCAATTCTTGCATTGAAATCGCCCAAAATTATGGAATAAGGAGTCATATTTTGCCAGATCTCCATTTGTTTAGTTATTTCATTCAAAGTTATTATGTCATCAGGTGAAATATAGGTAAGCATTAAAGTTATTAAATTATTCGTAATATTAGCAAGAGCAGATTTAATGATTTGAACAAGGAGCAGAATGAAATTATTAGATTTCTATTAGTTTTTTTGTCAAAACTGACTCTATTGTAAATTTTTCAAAGAAGGTAGAATTATAGACTATTTCAGAACATATTCAGGTTTCAGTGATTGCAATAATATCCGGATCATATTTAGAAATAAAGGCATCTATTTGAAGTATTTTATATTTAAGTCCTTGACTATTCCAGTTTATAATTGAGAGGCATTGATTATTAGGGTAGAGTTTGCAGGATTGAGTTTTATCTTGCTTATTAATATGTCATTT